CAGCCAAAGAGCACTGGTAAAGGGAGTGGCTTTCTCCAGGAATGGCACTCTCACTGCTTAGCTAAGAACAAATGGTCAACTTAGGAAATACATGTACCAGTATATAGACGGAGTAGGCTATATTTAGGAATACATACATATATGCAGTAATAACAATTAATGAGAAGAGAGGCATGACTTTGAAGGCACCTAGACATTTTAAAAACAGTGGGCTCATAAGACATGATAAAGACAACATTTAAAAACAGCACTCATAAGACATGCTCAAGAATTTAGAATCATTGGGGTGATCTCTTAAATGACTGGGCAGATGGTATTTAGCAGGCACGTTGATGTCTGCTGAAGAAAGAGAAGACACCTGGCATTCTCTGAGCAAGCTAAGGGATGTTCAAATTCCAGGTAGCCTTTGCAAACATCTTGGGAATGATCTAAAACAGAGTCTTACAATTCACCCCTTACAGTCAACACTTTGTCTCTGCTCTGAGTAGGGAGCCGGAGTCATGCATGAATTCTGTGCCCAGTCACCATTTCTGGGTAGACTGTACAGCCGAGGGCACATGAAAGTCTTACCTTTTGGCACTATTTGCTGTACTTTATCACTCCTTAGCATTTTAGGGCAGAAGAGAGTAGCAATGTAGTAAAACAAAAAATGCTTAGAGGTTAGAGCCAAAATCGAAGCTCAGATCATGACTCTTCCAGTTAGTGTACTGTGACTTATATTCAGAATTTTAATTAGCTCTAATGCTTATAAAGTAGGACCTGGCTTATAAGACCTCATTATAAAAAGCATAATTGCCTTATAAATGGTAACCCTGGAAGCATATCTTAGTAGAACATAAAATATATTTAATATTATTGAATATTTTCTAAAATTCTTAAGAAACTATACATTTACTGTAATGGGGCAAAGCACTGTGACTGGGGACAAGAAGAAAACTGCTCACTTCTCAGAGACCAGAGACATGAAGAAAGAAAGGAGAGTATATTATGACTTCAACAGCACACCCGCATGGCTTAAGTTCTAGTGGCTCCCTCCATTTCCTAAAATTTCCCCACTGTACAACAGCAGCCTTAGTATAGGAGCAAGTTTTCAAACACACAAACCTGTAAGGAACATTTCAAAAGCACAGTGATATGCTTGGGTGGTAATACTGCATCTAAAGTGACTCACGAGACTGAAAAGATGGAGCCGAAGATAAGTGAAGACCAGAATTCAGATCTTACACAAAAGCAAAGCAAACATGACGGCCTTCCTGTAATGCTATCACTAAGGAGACAGAAACCGGATGTCCTCAGAGCAATCCAGTTAGCTAAATGAGATAATCCATCAGCACCTGGTCCAAAATACCCTGTCTAGGTAAATAAAGTGAAGAGTCTCATGATCAAGATACCTGCAGTCAGTCAACCTCTAGGCTTGACACTTGGCAGTACCCCTACACAGACTTGCACCCACATACGTGCAAAATACAGATACACTCTTGCCACAGATACATGCAATAATACTTATTACTATATTATTTATACTACATAATAATATTATATACTTTAAACAATTATTGCATGCATATATGGCATGCAGATGCATTGTTATTGTTGTTACTATTAGTATGTCTGGAGTCCATCTGACTTAAATGCAAAATTTATAAATGCCAATGAATGACAGATAGATGACAGGTAGATAGATAGATAGATAGATAGATAGATAGATGATAGATAGATGATAGATAGATAGATAGATAGATAGATAGATAGATAGACAGACAGATGATAGATGGATAGATAGATGATAGTGTCCTACTTTTCTTTTTTTGGCATAAAGCTAAAACATTTATTACAGGAGAGAGAGAGGGAGAGAGAGGGAGAGAAAAAAGAAGAGGAGAGACAAAGCCCTGTGTGTACACCGGGAGAGAACAGGAGAGAGAGAGAGATGGTGGCGGAGGTCAGAAGTAAAAAAGGGAGTGGGCATGGAAAACATTTATTAAAGGAGAGAGGGAGAGATAGAGAGAGAGAAGAGAGAGAGAGAGAGAGAGAGAGAGAGAGAGAGACAGAGAGAGACAGAGAGACAGAGAGACAGAGAGACAGAGAGACAGGCGTGATCACACCAAGGGGACAGAAAAGGAAGGGCAGTGTCTTACTTTTCTATTGCTCTGATTAATAACCATATAGCAAGGCAACTCAGGATGGAGTTTGACCCCCTTGAATTACATTTGTAAAAGTTTTCTTTTGTTGTAGTGTTTTAGGAACAGAAAATTCTTTAGGCCCTTTTCCTTTTGCAAGTTGAAAGCTTAGCAAGATGGGGTCTTGGCCTGAGGCTCCCACCCTTCCCTTATTCCATTTTGCAGAAGGCTTCTCCTTAACCTCATCTCTTTCAGCACCAGCCTCGGCTCCAACATTAATTCTTCTGTTTCTTTTTCTCTTCAAATGGTACATGTTGTGTTTCTTTCTGTCCTCCTTCATCATTTTCATTGTAGATCTGCATATCAGTGATTACTAATAACCACATGACAGACTCAATATTAAACTGTCTTGAAATCTCCACCAAAGAAATTAGTTCGTTACTTTTGAATTTAACCCCAGGCAAACTCTTAGGACAAGCGTGCAGTAACCACATTCTTCAGCCTCTTCCACAGCAGCTGCTGAAGACCTTACTTCTCCCTGAAGTCCCTGGAGCTGGGCTTCCACAGTCCCATAGTGCTTATGGCTGTTATTTAGGCTCCTAATAGGCAGCCCACTAAGCCCTATTTGTGGTGTTCAACTCCTCTTCTAGTCTGAAGTAACAAAGTCTTTCACAGTCATTCAGAACATTACAAGGTCAAGTCTGTCACAGCAACCCTGTACCAAAGTCTGTCTTAGCTATTTTTCTATTTCTGTGATAAAGCACCATGTCCAGGGCAATTTGTGGAAGAGTTTAATTGAATTTACAGCGTCAGAGGGTTAGAGTCCATGCTGGTGGACTAGCAAACTTCTACTCATACTTGAAAGGCTGAACAGTTCACAGTCTTCCCTGACCTTTCAGGGAGAGTTGGCCCTCTTCGCCTAAGCCTTGTGGGCTCCTCAAAAGTTACAGTTCACTTCCTAATAATGCTACAGACCAGGATAACCCTGATTTTGAGCACCACAGTCTAATGGCATACAGCATGCCCAAAAGATACTTTGTGGATAATTTGCTTTCATTTTTGACTCATTCAAAACAAATTCACAAGTATTTCCAGGCATAAACATTAAAAAATAGTCACGATTGGTTGCCAACTAGTAATAGTTTTAACTAATTATTATAGCTTAAAATATGGTTCATAAACAATTATGAATATTGTATAATATAGTTTTTAATTGCTACAGTAATATATAAGGCCATGTCTGTAGTTAAACTCAGGTAATGTGGAATGAACTGGGGAGTTCATAACAGTTTACTAACATAACTTGTCCACATGCAAGCAAACACAAGTGCCTTTCCTGATTCACTTACCGTCTCAGTCACAAAATAACGAAGTACACTTACTATCTGCTTGTATATTATTAAATGAAATTATGACCAAAGGAAACAAGCTCATCTACCACTCACATTTGATGTGAGCATAATAGGAGCAAAATATAAATAGCCCTTGGCCACTGCACATGCAAGATTCATTTCTACACAGAGCTGATAATTTACTGTGTGCTGTGAAACCACATCAACTTTGTATTTTTGGTTGTGATCCTAGCCTTTAACAGCTGAGCCATTTCTCCAGCCCCCACATTAACTTTGTTATATGTGTTAATAATTTTTACATATACATGTTATTTATATATTTATTATGTTTATATGTATTTATATGTTAATATTAACGTCTACAAAGCCCTTAGAGTTCCTTTAAGATGTTAATTATTTTTAAATAATATTTCAAACTTGCTGATAATTAAAGCAAAATTTCTTCAAATACAGTCTAAGTTCATGATAAATAAAATTGTTAATATTTTTCTTTCTCTAAGTGTTGTGGACACCTTTGTGTATATTTTTTTCCCCAAAGTGTACATCTAAAATGTGGGTAGACTTTTCCTTTGTATAGCCAAGCATTGTTCGTTTATAAGTAGCTACTTTTCTACAGTGTTTTGGCCCTCTCTTCTAAGATGTGACCCTTTCAATGAAAACTCCGTAACACAGAGAACACTGGCAGCTCACAGGAATGTCACTCATTGACACTTTCCCGGCCCTTCCCCTGTGCTCAGATGTTTAACAGAGGGCTTCTCTTTGGGGAATTTATGAATGGTGGATTTCAAAGCTGTGATAGCCCCTCAGGTTTGTTTTCACGTGGTCGTTGAGTTTATGCTGTGAGCTAAACAAAATACATGGGGAGTTCTGCATCACCGGTGAGTTAACCCTCTGGATCTTGCATGCTGAGCTTATATGGGGACCTTCCCAAAGACCTTGTTTTTAAGTTTTTAATTCTAGAAAAGAAATGCTGCTTTTAAAATTTTACAGAGCGGGAAAGCAATGGAGAGGGCAGAGAGGGGGAGGGAGACAGACCATGAGTGAGATCTAGAGACAGAACAGGAAGTTGTATTTATTTTTTTGAATCATCAATCTTTGCTTAGTAAAAAACACATGCAGTGGAATTTACTTCTAAATAAGCAGAAAGCAAAGAACTGGCGAATATTTTAACGTGAGCAGGAAACACGCAGTCTTTTGTTATCAGATGCCATAGCTCAGGCCAATGGTCTGAGAAGGCCAAAGGGATTTTAGCTTAGGAAATGCTTGCTCTACAATGGGACATAGGCACTAAAGGACTTCTCAGAGCATTTAATATGTGAATGTCTGCTGCAAACCACCTCACCTATTATAACAGGCAATATTTTCCAGGAAAAGTCAATTAATAATGCATTTTCTCCCTTTGCATTCAGAGGGAAACATGGCCACTGGTCAATATACTTGTATAAAACAGCTAGGTCTTGATAAGCCTTATTTTCATATGCATATCTCCACATGGCTTGGTGGACACTCTCAGGGAGAAAGAAGTACCAACCTGAAGGCTTCGAGGTACTCAGCATCTCCCATTGGGGGGTCAAGGCCACCTGTCCAGGCAATGTTGATGTTGAAGCCTTCTCCCAGGCCTACTCCAACCTGGGGATAGAAAAACACACCACTGTGGGCGGAGAACGGAGGGAGGGACGAAACAAAAGGAGCGGGAAACGAGCACATGGGAGCTCTTGAAATAAACATCAAACACTGCGTCAAATCAAGCCAGCTCTGCTTGACAGCCAGCTCTCTGGGTTATGCACTTGTTCTGTGCTGGTTCTTGGTCCTGTGGGACAAGCAGGTAATCTGGGGTAATTTAAAACAGCAGCAAAGGACAAGAAAATTAGGGGTAATCACGCAATGCAATTACCTGCGAGATACAAGTAAAAGCAGGGCTCTAAAGAAATAAACCGAACCTCATTCGGGGCTCCACTGCCGGGGAAAAAGTTTCCTTCATCATAGCGGTGGAGCGAAATGTACAGGACGCTGGGGTCAGCATAAAAGGCCTGCTGTGTACCGTTGCCATGGTGAACGTCCTACGGGGAAAGAAAACAGATGACAAGCACCGTCACATCTGACTCTGGAGACGACTCTTCTCGTTCCTGGTTCCCTCTCTTCCTACCCCATCCTCCCTCTCATTTTCTGTCTTCTCCTCGGCTTTCTTTCTCTCTCCCTTTCAACCCCCTTCTACACAACCCTTTACTTCCTGAACTTTCAGGCAAATTACCCTTTAATGCTCTCATTTTTTTTTTTTTTAAACTGGCTTCTAAAAATCAGGAAACCACAGCGAGCATGCCCTGGAGACTCCAGATGAGCAGTCAGTGAGAAAGCCCAGTCCTTCGGTCCAATTAGATATTTATACATCGGCACTTTGTACTCTTTGCTTCAGTGATGGAATCCTGCATCCTGTTTTATAGAGGAATTTTATGACTTATTAACTGCCAACAGTTCATAACCCCTCAGGCTTAATTAACTAGCCTCATTGGCCTCTGGAAAAAAAAAAAAAAAGGACTAATGTTTAAACTCCAAACTAGTCCTTTTCAGGGGGATCTGTGGCTTACAGAGCATTCTCACAATTCTTGACAGAACAGTAAACCATACGTGTATGCCTTGATTTGCCAAGTCCCACCATTAAGGTCAAAGGCTTTGCAACCAGCTGAATAAATTGGCTTTCTTGAAGCATTCGGTTCAGTTAGCAATCCCTCGGCTAGAGTTACTTCAAAAAAAGACGCCAGATGGGAAGAGGACTTCCTATACATTTTGCTAAAACCGTGGAAGCAAGAGTAGAAGAAACGGGCGCGAGCTCACTAACTGTGAAATCATTTGGGCAAAGCAGGAAGATGGCACAGGGGTCTACGCAGTCCTTTCCAGTCCGTCTCACAGAAATGACTGACTGCATCACGGATGGCATCCCCGCTCTCTTCCTCATCTGTCTGTCTCTCTCATACGTCTCCAACTTCCCACTCAAAAAACCCCATTATCAATAAACGAACAAATAATTTATTGGACATTGGCAGAGGATAATGATTCAAAACTTGATGGTTCTTCTATTTCTAATATAGATATATGTCCCAATTGACATAACTATTGGAAACAATAAAAGGAGCACCATTTAAAATCTTTATTAAGAAGAATTCAGGTATTAAGGACTTCAGTTAATACACTCAATATTTCCTGAGGAAAACCAAGCAGGCTGCTAACGAGTGCTGAACTACACATTTTATGCAGAAAAATATTATTACATTATTCACTTATACAGTTATAAAGAGCTTTGGTACTTTGTAGCTATTTAAATACATTGGGCTTCATTTTTATCAGTAAGATTTATACTGTTTTAAACAATGTTTCTTACCACCATTGAGTGAACACAATATTAAACACCTTGAATTAATTACTTAAAAATTATATAAGATATGTGATATTATTTCTATTGTAAAAAATATGACAACTGATGCTCAAAGAATTTCAAAAATTTACTATGAATCTCCAGGCAGCACCTTGTGAAATGGGTTCTTGAATCCACTTATTGCTGCAAATGAAGAGCTAATTATTTATCACTTATCTGATTCTTTTAGCAAGCTTATGAGGTGAATTTTTTGGAAACTAACTCTTCTCCTTGAGATGGGCAGAACCCCCTTCTTCTCCAGTCGCCAGCCCCCAGTTCCACTAGACATCTCCAAAGCCCCCTTGATACTGGACCCCTCCTCTGCACTTGCTATCCATGGTGTAGACACACAATAATCCGCTCCGTGCTTCACATACCAGACACGCCCAAAAGTGATCAGAGAATCATACTGCTCAGGCAGACAGGAATCATCTCAGAAACTTTACTAGCCAAAGATAAACACATCAGAAAAAGTATATAACTTGATGAAAACATATTAATTACTGGATTTCTGAAGATTCAAAAGAAAAGAAAAGATAGTAAAATTAACTTTTTCTTTTTTATGTGAACAAAAATGAAAGAATTTAAGCCACAATGTATTTTATACTAGCTAGTACTTATCCAGAATATGTTTCAAAAACAAACAAAACCAAAATAACTCCCAAGGAAGCCCCAGCAGAGGGCTATCTCTGTTTCCCCTCCAGCAGCAAGAGCCAGAGCTGTAAGGCCAATTTTGTTCTAGGGATAAGAGAGTCCACAGTTGGAAAGCAGAGAGAAACACTGGCTTGACTATTCCTATTTCTTTAGTGACATTGGAAAACTTTATTTAAGAAAAAAGGAGACTAAAAAAATGACACCTATAGCCCTGATACAAAATCATCTGATCTTTAAAACTGTTTGGGGTGTTTGTCTGTTCACACATTGTAAGAAATGCATCCTGTCCACATCGAAAGAAAGAAAAACACCAGCATTCCTCATTTACAAAAACACACAAATCCATCCTAATTTTTGAGCAATGCTTGATTCTGTATTTGTTTGCCAAGTACTTAAAGATAAATATGAACCCACATAGTAGGTGTGAGGCAACAACTTAAGAGTGTAGGGTTGAGAGTACCTTCTGCTACTTACTCCGTTCAAACCAAAGACTGCTCAGGAACTAGCTGTACCTGCTCCTCCATGGCAACAAATATATATCAGACTAAGACAAGAAGCTTATCTGTGCTTATGAGAAATTAGAATAAAGATGAAATGAATCATCACAGCCTTAAAATAAACATTGAATCTAAGATGTACTTAGAATTATGGAAAAATGTGTATCAATATTTTACTGGTTAAAACACATACTATAAAATCCGATTCTTTATAAGAATTTAGAACCTATGTATTTTGTTCTGATCTAAAAATGCTTTGAACAAATCATATATTCTTCCAGTTAATATTATCCTTTATAACTAATTAGTATATGGAGACAAAGGTCTAAATGTCTTTGATCAACAATCAAATGTCATAAACTATAAGGACATTGAAGTAACTGTTTTGTTATAAGGGAAAACAGAACTTAAGAAGAATTGTGATCTAAAATTTCCTTCTACGTTACACATATGATTCAGGACATGCTACTCCATGGACATGCTGCCTCCTGGAAGGCAAGGCTGTGCTCTGGAAAGTGGTAAGGCAAAGAGGCCTATTTCCTTTTCGTACTGATTTGCACATCAGAGAGAGAAAAGACATGAAAAGACTTCATAAATAACTGGAATCCCACCTGCCTAACATGAAAACACCTCCGAAGTAGGCCCTGGCCCAAATAGAAAGAGTTGCAACTCTGGCTTTCTATTTACTTGGCTATAAAATGTCGAAACTAGGCACTAGATGAGAGAGCCGTACTACTGTGAAGGGCTCCAGAGCCTGAGGCCAGGGGATCTGAGGGGTGAACTGTTCTCCCCCTGTAGAATCTTCCTCTCTCCTCCGTCACTTGCACAGAGACCAATTGGCCAGGGAGAAGGGGTATCTCGGCATCTCGTGGCGCCTTAAGATGTCCTTCTCAGTTTCTGGAGGAAACAGGAGTTTCCTCAAAGTGCCATGCAGCTGCAGAGTTTGGAACACTGGAAAGTAAGAAGTGTGGGCTGGTGGTGACCTCAGAGGCCACTCTGTGGACTGGACTTCATACACTGAGAGGACCTGAAACAAAAACTTCTCATCTTTGGGAGCCGATTTGGAGAGGAACATCCTTCATGAACTGGATAACCGAGTAAAATCACAATTGCCATCCACGTAGAGGAAAGTGACTCCTTAGAGCTACCAAGTGAGTCAGTATAGAAATCCAGAGAGCTTCTCTCTACAGTCAGACCCATATATCTCTCAAGAAATACTTACAGTTAGAAGAGCTTGTCACTCTTAAGAAAAACAAAGCTAACCATTGACCTTGCCCAACCCTCAAGTTCCTGCATCTCCACTTGCCATCTTTTCCTTCTAAGCTCATCCTTACAAAACTCCAGGAGAAATGATATTTAGATTATCGTGCATGCAAACTCTGAATTACTTCAAGCATCGTTTTGAATGTATTTGAGAAAATAGGTATTCATGCAAAATTACAAGAACTCTGTAGTGTTATAGCTCTCTCCTTCAACACAGCCTGTTCAGTGAACTGTGACCTACTTTAAAACTTAAGTATGTTTAGAAACACATAGAAAATTAGGATTCAATATTTTCACATGAAAATGTCTACACAGAAGCCACAATATAAAAATTACCTATTTTAACCAAGTCATAGAAGTGGTTGTCAATCTTCCACTTTAAAAAAAAAAATCTTCATTTTAATTTAAATATTACTTTACAAGACTTTGTTAGTGGTCTCTCCACCCCTTTGGGGGTACCCACTTAACTAAATCTAAGGGCTGGAGGTTGATGTCATGACTTCCAATAAGATTTAATTATGAGTGCAGATATGAGCAAGATTTAAACTATTAAGGCTTGCACTTCAAAAAAAAGCTCTAGCATTTTTTTGCCTTTAAATCTTTTATCACCTGTAAAAATTAATTAAGTGCAGATGCAGCAGGTTTGGCTTGGATGCCAGGGTTCATTTCCTGTCTATGCTTTGTCAGACAAGCCATTACACCTCCTGGTGGAGTGCAGGCAAACTGAGAAGCGGGCTCATAAATCACCATTGCCTTTCCCTCGCCCTTTCCCGGGTTGGTTCTTTCTCTATGGGGCAGATCTCCAGCTCATTATTCATGCATACATTTTAGACAACCTGCCAAGTGTCATCTGCATTTAAACAAGCCACTTGTTGAACAAATGATAACTATTGTGTAAGAATGCTCCATGCTAAAATGCAGGATGCAGCCAAGGCTTCTGACTTTTAATCACCCAGGGTTCCTGCAGGGAGTCACCCCAAACTGGCATCTGAGACCTGAGATCTTTTCAGCGAGAATGACATGTTGACTTGCTTTAATGATACCAGTGTGGTACAACAAGGGACGTGATTGCTAACTGGGGGAAGCGGCCGATTGGTTACCAAAGCAACAGCATTCCTTCCAGCACATCTGACTAGTTAAAGTCTATATTCTGTAGGGAAAAGTAAATTCAGGTTCTGTTGGGTTATTTTAACTGTGGAAGTATCAATTCATTTAAGGATCATAAAAGTTGCCCTGATCTGCGCCGTCTTCTCATTAAATTGCAGTTAACACCATGAAAGTGAAACGCGAATGTTTATGGTTTCAGAACTGCAGTCCTGAGTTTAAGGCGTTTCCACATGCAAAGGAAACACGCCCATCAGAGGTTTGCAGGGCTAAGAGCAAGACAGCCTTGCAGAGAAGTGCGCATCCACTCCCCTTTACCTGGAGCCACTGAAAATGATACCCTGGTCAGGCATACATACCAGATCTACAATCAATATCTTGTTCATATTGAGTTGGTCTCTCAAGTATTTGGCGGTAATTGCAACTGAATTAAAAAAGCAGAACCCCCTGTGGAATAAAGAAGAACAGAGAAGTAAGAAGGAAAATCATCCAGGAAAACCATTATAAATAATGTTCAGAGCATTTTTTTTAAAGATGCTATATGATCTCTGAAGTCATAAATCTGCTTCTGGGAGTACCTCGCGAGAGTTTTCAGCCCATCTGTTAGCAATTAGAGACTTCAGAAATGTCCATAGGGCAGGTGACTGCCAGGAACCATGGCACTGGAAGATGGCAGTGGGCCCTGGTACTTACATGGCAGCAGACTCTTCAGCATGATGGCCTGGGGGCCTCACAACAGCAAACCCGTTCTGGAAGCACAAGACGGGATTTTCAGTAGCAGGCACAGTGATACTGATCAGATCTCTGCAGCTAAGCATCACAGACACACAGGAAGTCTGACGTCTTTCAGACACACCCAAGCATATCTCCGTGTCATCACCATATCACAGCATCAAGTGAGACACTTGGGTCACTTTTGCTCAGATCCCGTCTCAAACAGGCCCACACTGACCCAGAAGAACAGATTGCTGGGAGTTGTTCATAGCAGTCAGGCAATCATCTCAGCTGTTAGACTCACACAACCCATTTGCAAGAATACCCTTTAAAGTTCTAACGTCAACATCTAGAGAGAGAGAAATTCACTCTTGGTGCAAGTTTGGGTCAAAGTTCAGAAAGCCGGGAAGATGCGAAGTGAAAATTCCTGACCTGGGTTCCTTCAATGGTTCTTTCCACCCCAGTGTCAGCAACATGATAAGTTTACACTTGCACACGCGCATAGACACAAAAGAAACCCCAGAAAGGTGAAAAGGAGAACAATGGAAATCCCATATTTCTTCCAGTCTATAAACTGAGCTTGGATGACTGCCAAGGCATGTGAGTTTATTGAATTCCCTAAGTCAATTTCTAGCCCAAGTTCTGGAATTTTATAAAGAATTCCAGAGCTGAGCAGCAGTCAGATATACCCATGATCAAGAAATGCCTTAACCTCCAGGTTAGTGGAAATGCATCAGAGAAAGCTGAAGAGACTCAGCATGAAGGCAGGGAGCCATAAATCCCCAGAAAGCCGTGCGTACGAACGATGGGTTGTCTGATGTGAGAAAATAATCGTTTATCACACGGGTCACGCCACTTTTCACTTAACTATGATTCGAGGAGCATGCTCCAAAAAGAATATTTCCTTAACCACAACCCATAACGTCTGAGATAATTCTAATAAACCTCAGGAATTTTCCTTCTAAATCTTTACCTGAAATCATAAAGACTCAGAGTCGTCCTACTTGACCTTCATGCACATGATCACTCTTTGTTACAATTTATAGTCGTTGGGTAAATTGACTATATATTATGTTGAGTGAATATAGTAACGATTTTAGAGACAAATTAGAAGTGGCAATAGTATCTTCCAGTGATTGGAAACGTCACCCTTAGTACAAATCTATTATGAAATGGGACCATCACAGGGCAGTTTTTTCCCGCGGGCTCTTCCCTCGTGTGCAGACTCCTGCCGTAATTGAGGGGGTGGCTAGAGATGAACAGAGCAGGCTGCTGACAAAAGGGATCAGGAAGACTGATTTTCCCTCTCTCTCTTCGATGTGGAATTTTCCCCTCTGTATGCTGTGACTACCACTAATGAATAAAGAAACTGCTTTGGACATATAGCAGGGTAGAACTTAGGTAGGCAGGGAAAATTAAACTGAATGCTGGGAGGAAGAAGGGCGGAGTCAGAGAGAAGCCATGTAGCCCTGCCAGAGACAGACGCCAAAACTTTATCAAGTAAGCCCCAGCCACATGGCGACACACAGATGAAAAGAAATGGGTTAAATTAAGATGCAAGAGTTAGTCAATAAAAAACTAGAGCTAATAGGCCAATCAGTGATTTAATTAATAGTTTCTGTGTGTTTATTTCAGGGCTAAGCCGCCAGGAACTAACAAGCACAAGCGGCCCCTACCTCCTCCTACATCTCTTGCCTTTTCCTTATGTTGTGACCAAGAATTACAATTTGACCATACGCTGGCCTGGCCTCCCGACATCATAGCTGGCTAACCTTGTATTGTCTACATGTGAGTCTGTGGTATGTTGTTACAGCAGCAGAAAATTGATGAAGAAGCTGAACCACATCTCACTGACTAAATGCTGGAGATGACGATAAACATGTCTCCCACCGTTTTCCTGAAATCATTTATGCATTATCCAGACTTTATTATGGAGAAAGGAGCTATTGATGAATAGTAACAGACACCGGAAAATTTAAAGTTAGTGGGGGGAAATCTGCAACTATTGCAATACACTCAATAAAAGCCACCGAATGAAAGAAATGAATATAAGGCTTGGTAAACACAACCCACGTGCAAAGCCCTGCATGATCGCTGTCGAGATGGCCGCCTTGCCTTTTAGAGTCTGACTTCTGAACAAGATTGGCCTTTTGTTTTATGATTTTTTCTGAGCAGCTACCAGTATTTTATTTCTGGTTCAATTAAACTAGTTTATGAATGAAGGTAATGTTTACATGTTTACAAAGAAACAACAACCAATCACCAATGTGTACTGAACACTATGACTAATTAAATAAAAAACATGGAACCCCCAATGGTAAGCCATATTTTATCATTTCCCTCGCATGCTGTGAGGGAGTTTTACGTTCATATGATGTTTGCAGAAGAGACATAAACTCTCCATAATGTAGCCTTCCTGTATCTAGACAGAACTTTTGGAAAGCGTCGACACTCTTTGAATCATTAAAAAGTGCTTTCCCTAACACAATTTTATCAACTGTGTCTACAAGCTTCTATGTGAAAGGTCAAATTTAATTTATAATGATAGAAATTTCTAATTATCTAAATAATCAGCTAGTACTATGAAAGTGGTAAATAAATCATGACCCACTTATCCATGTAATATTAATATTATCTACCTACTCAACAGATTTACTTGGATATCTCGAGGGTACTTCAAAAAGAGATTGTTTTCTTTGGAAAACAATCTGCAAACCTCCTAATCTCCTTAACATGGCAATGACACCATGGTCTGTCCCTCCATCAGCTCAAGTCAGAGGCTGATGAATTCTCTCTCCTGGCTCCTTCTCCATCCTTCTTCCATTTCATTTTAGTTTACAACCTATTGCTGATGATATCATTTTGAAAAATTACTCAAACTTATTCTCTTATTCATATGTCCAGTCCTTTTGCTTTGCTGGGTTATGTTTCAGGACCATGTACATGGGCAACAAGTGCTCTGCCCAGAAGCCACACACTCAGCCCTTCCTTGAGGGTTTTGGCTTTGTAGGAGTTGTTATCTTCAGTATCCATACAATCTTCTGTCTCCTGGCTTCTCTGCTTTCTGACGCTTGCCATTAATAAATTCGCATCCTGTTCAGTCTCCTTCTTTTAGGCTGTCCAGGGACAGCATCACTTTCATGATTCTATGACAAGCAAGCATCTACTCATCAAGGACCTTCTCTTCCCAGACAAACACTCCTCGTTCATCAACCATGTTTAATTTCGCAGCTCGGCATTCATCAGCTACCATGTTCAGTTCCCTCTCATCCTGCTTGGACTCTCAGGCCGTCATTACGTCATTACGTATCCACACGGACGGCCACCTTGTCCTTTTCTCACATGGTCACTCATGCTGACCGAGCTCTGGCAGGACTTTGTCTGTGCAGGGCACTCATTGCCTCGGGACTTCTCACTACAGTCTCCACGCAGCCTTTCCTGGGGACTCACAGTAGATAACTCTGGTGTCCTTTTTATTCATTGAAGGGCACTAGCGCTACTGGTTAAGACCCTAAGAACCTTGTATACTCTATTACTGACTTATAGCCTTATTCCAGTGACTGGAGCTAAATTTTCAATACGCCATCTCTGAAGAGGCACAAACATCCAGTCTGTTACACATTTTCAATCATGTCGCTCTTTCCCTTCTTGTGGATTCAGGCAAAATCACAAGTCTGATAAGATAGAACTCACACCTGCTCCATCCCTGCATCTATTGAAGCACACATAAAAGCCAGATGTCTGCTTGTCCTTTACAGTTAGGATCTTAAACTCCAAGTACATTCCTCAGGATGGCTGGAAGCCACAGCGCATTCCTCCATCAATGAACCGACTGTCCCTGACTTTCACATGAGTCATCCGGGCTTCTCCTTTTCCTTCAAAGTTTCAACAACCCTTCGCTAACTCCTTAACTTCTGCTTCTGCTGAAAAGTTATTTCATTAAAAAAAAAAGGCAAGTAGAATAACATATCTACATACTTCAAGTGAAAATATACTGACCCACTCCCAGTAGTCCTTGCTGCTGACCTGTCTGCCCTTTCTCCTCCCACATCGTTCTAGGCACAGCTAACTATGGCTCTCATTCCTCTCTCTGTAGCATCTTTTTCTCTTCTGCTACAGTATTGCAATCAGAGCAAATGTTTAATTTTCTCGTCTTAAAGAAAAGAAACAGAAACTTAACGACCAATGTGATGTGCTCAGGAGGTGGGACTTTATAGAGGGAGCTCATCTTGAGGGCTTCTCCCTTTTAACGGGATTAAAGTCCTGTTTCCAGGGGCTTCGTGCAGCCTGTGGTTTATTTGCTCTTCCTTCCAGCATCTTGGAAGCAGAAGGCAGCTCAGCTCTGGGATCGCAGCAAGCCTCATCTAGGCTTGGGATTCAAGTATGTCAGGCTGGGAGGCTAATCCACTTTCTGAGCTATGCAGCTGGTGGAATTTTGCTTTGACAAAAACAGAAGAAGACATTCTCACAGTTGTGCCAGGCACTATTTCTGAGCACCATCTAATGTGGGTGAAGACTGGGTGTACTTCCTTTGATTGGTTTTGATATTGTGACCCGGATGTATCATGTCCATACTCACCAAGGCACCTGCTTTGTGCCTGTCACTGTTCTCTACTCTGACATGACATTGGGCACGTAACAAGACGCCAGTGAAAAAATGAGGTATTTCTGCTCGGTCGTACAGCATGTGCCTACTTCGCTCCTCCATTCTGGCCTTGGCTTCAAGTTCTTTACTCTCCCAGGTGTTTGTACTCTTTCTTTTTGTAGGTGACCATTAGACTTGTTATGGGAAGTCACCCATTAAGTTGGAGGTCACCTCTTAGGCTAGCTTCCTCAGAAACACATGAAGTATTTTATGCCTTATAATAATAAATAAAATCTTTGTGTTCCATTTTCGATGTGAAGTGTATCTCACAGGCACTTGTGTGAATATTTGGGCCCCAGCTGGCGGCTCTGTTTTAGGGTGCAGTAGAAACAAAGGAGGCAGGCCTTAGCTGGAACACACAGGCCCCATGAAGGACATGTGATCCTTGGC